GTTTCCCATGTATAAGGAAGAAAGCTCCACATTATTCCTAGCACCTCCTATGTATTATCCCCTCTAAGGGGACTGTACTTGCCCACAAGAAGTTTAGTTCTTCTCAGAAGCACACAGACAGTCTGGAGATGATCCAGTCTTAAAGATGAGGAGGCTAAATGACAACAACTTATTTATTAATTAAATGACAGCATTTTAGAGAAAAGCATGAGATGGGGGTGGTGATGTCAGGAAAACATCCTCTTGGAGCATCCTTTATTAAGAAGAACAGGTCTTTTTTGTAATGCATACAAATATGCACAGGTTTCTAGGACAAAAGATAGTAATGGCACGGGCTCTGCCTTATAAGAAGTAAGGTGGTCTGAAAATAGGAATCTAAATTCTTAGGGTGCCTGGGTGGCTCAGATGGTTAAGCCTCCAACTCTTGACTTCTGTGCAGGTCATGATATTATGGTTCATAGGATCTAGCCTGGAGTCGGACTCTGTGCTGTCAGTGCGGAGCCTGCTTGGGATTCACTCTCTCCTCTCTCTCTGCCCCTCTCTGGCTCATGTATGCATGTGTGCGTGCACACACGCGGCTCTCTCTCAAAATAAATAAACATTAAAAAAAAAAGAAATCCAAATTTTTTCAGTGGCCTAGTTCTATATAGAGAGGAGATAATCTTTTATTAAAAACAATTTAATGAGCATTCTCAACTAAAGAAGAGGGCTTAGAATGGAGCATATGAAAATGAACCCATGGTAGTTCCACACCTTGAAGCTAATAGTCTAACTGGAGAGACAAATACATTATCAGGTGACTTGCACCAATGCATGAAGTTATAATGGGGCTGTGCAGATTCAGAAAAGGGGAAATTAGCACAGAGGGAGACAAGGGGAAAGAGAAGAGTATTACTTTCTGGATGAGGCAACCAAAGCTGACTCATAGCAGGTCAAAAGTAAAGAGCCAGACCTCATCTCCATTAGAATGGCCACTATCAGAAAATAGCAAGTGTTGGCAAGGATGTAGAGTAACTGGAATCCCTGTGCACTGCTGGTGGGAATATAAAATGGCACGGCCACTGTGGAACAGTACGGTGGTTCCTCAAAAAATTAAATGTAGAATTACCACATGAACCAGCAATGCCACTTCGGGAAATAAATACCCACAAGACTGGCATTCTTGGAAGAGGTATCTGTACACCTATGCTCATAGCAGCATTATTCACAATAACCAAAAGGTGGAAGTAACCTAAGTGTCTAACACCTGATGAAGGGATAAATAAAATGTGGTATATACACACAATGTATTATTATTCAGCCTTAAAAAAAAGAAGGAAATTCTGATACATGCATGAAACTTGAGAACTTCATGCTAAGTGAAATAAATGAGTCACAAAAAAACAATTACTATATGATTCTACTTATACGAGTAGGGACATTAATGGACAGAAAGTAGAGTGGTGGCTGCCAGAGGCCAAATGCTGAGAAGAATGATGAGCTGTTGTTTAATGGATATATAGCTTGGGGCACCTGGGTGGCTCAGTCGGTCAAGTGCCTGACTCTTGATTTTGGCTCAGGTCATGATCACATGGTTAGTGAGACGGGCTTCTCAATAACATCACAGAGCCTGCTTAAGATTCTCTCTCCTTCTCTCTCTGCCCCTCCCCTGCTCATGACCTCTCTCAAAATAAATAGATAAACATTTACAAAAAATAATGGATATACAGCTTTAGTTCTGCAAGATGAAGAGTTCTGGAGACTGGGTGCATAGAAATATGAATGTACTTAATATTACTGAACTGTACAGTTAAAAAATGGCTACAATGATATATATTTTCTAAATTTTGCTACAATTAAAAATAAAATGAAAAAAGAAAAATAAAGAGCCAAGTGTCTTAGATGCTTGGGCTACCATAACAAAATACCACAGACTGGGTAGACTAAATAGCAGACATTTATTTCCTCACAGTTCTAGAGGCTAGAAGTCCAAGACCAGAGTATCACCATGATTGGGTTCTGGTGACATTGTCTTCCTGGGTTACAGATGGCCACTTCTTGCTGTGTCCTCACATGGCCTTTGCCTGGTGCCTATGTGTAGAGAGAGAAATCTGTCTCTCTCTTTCTTTTCTTGTAAGACCATCAATCCTACTGGATTAGGATTCCCACCCTTATGCTTCACTTAATCTCCATTACCTCCTAAAAGCTCTCTCTCTAGGGGTGCCTGGATGGCTAGTTGGTTGAGCATCAGACTCTTGACTTTGGCTCAGGTCATGATCTCAGTTTGTGGGTTCGAGCTCCACGTCAGGGCTCTGTACTGACAGCACGGGGCCTGCTTGGGATTCTCTCTCTACTCCTTCCTCACTTACATGTGCACTCTCTCTCAAAATAAATAAATAGACATTTTTAAAAAATGCTCTATCTCTAAACACAGTCACACTGGGGGGTAGGGATTCAACATATAAATTTGGGGTGGGGGAACACAATTCAATCCACAGCACCAGATGCACAGGATGAGGATGTGGTTCTAAAGGTCAATCCAGAGGAGACAGTGAAAAGATAATATGAAGCGGTTAGGGATAGGAGGATATGTTTAAAAAACTCAATGAGGTTTGGTTTAGTAATTTTTTTTCTTTTACCTTTTAGTAATATTTTTAATAGCAAATTTTTTTTAATGTCATATTCCCCACTAGATTGTGAACACTATTAGTGAAGAAAAGTATCTGTATTGTTTAAGCTGTAACTATGGCACATGCTACTTTCTTGGAACATCTTGGTTGCTCAATAGTTATCAAAAAAGTCAGAGCACCAAAAAAAGTGGAAAAATAAATAAATAAAAGGAAGGGGTAATGCTTCCAAAGCCTGAACATTGTCTTGAGAAATTAGGAATTTTATCATATGGGGTAAAGAGCCAAGAGGTGATTTACACAAGGACAAGACATTACTTCATTAGCATTTAGATGAACTACCCATGTGGAAGGTGTGCTTGAGTAGGTGACAAAAGAAATGGGCAGGTTAGTAAAGAAGCTATTCCAACAGTTCAGTTGTGATACTGTGAGATAGCAAAAAAGGAATAAAGTAGCAGAATGCATTTATTTGTTTTTAGGTTTATTTATTTTGAGAGAGAGAGAGAGAGCACAAGTGGGGGAGGAACACAGAGGGAGAGAGAGAGAGAGGGAGAGAGAGGGAGAGAGAGGGAGAGAGAGAGAGAATCCCAAGCAGGTTCAGCACAGAGCCTGATGTAGGGCTCAAACTCATGAATCACGAGATCGTGACCTGAGCCGACAACAAGAGTTGGATGCTTAACTGAGATACCCACACACCCCAAGAATGCATTTAAAATATGCATTTAGGTGTAACCGTATAAAATAGCTGTCATTTTTGACAAATAGGAAAGTAGCAAGACGTGAGTACACACCAGATGTGGCAGAAGTTGCGAGACTGAGAACAAAAGGAGCCTGGGATGCGCTACACTTTTGTGGCTTGGGTGCCTGGCTGACTAGGGAGGGAAAGATGAGGGGATAGTTTGGGGAGGGCTGTAAATCTTTGAATCAATTGAGCTGGAGATGCCTTTTGGATACCTACAGAGAGATGTTGAGTCAACTACGTCCAATATGGTAGTCACTAGCCACGTGTGACTATCTGAAACCTAAATTAAAAATATGGTTACTCAGTGACACTAGCTGCATTTTGAGTGTTCAACAGGTACATGTGGCTAGTGGCCACCGTTTGGGACAATGCAGATAAAGATCATTTCCATCATCACAAAAAGTGCTACTGGTCACAGTGGGCTGCAGAGACACATTTGCAAGAACAAATACATCACTGTTCAAACCAGAGCGGGGATGAAAGGAGTCAAGAAGACTAGCTGGAAAAATAGGGAGAAGGAATGGAAACTTGTGAAGGGACATGTGAAAGGGCAAGAGAAGGAAGGTGACTCCACAAAAGAAACAAGCATAAACCGACACAGACACTAACACGGGAGACCTTCCAGAAGGACAAAGTAGGGGCGGAGTCAGACACTGCAGACAGATCTGGGCGAGACCCACTGGATTGAACTGTAATTAGGTCACTGGTGAGTGTAGGTCACAGGCACATGCAGCAGCATGAAATATGAATGGAAAGTGCAGTAGCATTTGCTAGAGAATAGAACTTTAAGCTGTCTGCTAAACAGCTTGTTCAATAGGGGCACTTGAGAGAAATGTACACAGAGCTATTTTTAGGACATGAGCTATGTACACAGAGCTATTTTTAGGACATGAATGTACCAGCTATTCATGCTGGGCTCCAGTCAGTCTAAGTGTTATCTCTGGGTCCAGCAGGATGATCAGAGAAAGGTCTACTTCTTCTGTTTTATTGACACAGACAACTGTATTAATGAAAGCCCTGCTTTGGTAATGTGCCCTTTACTTCCACTGAGGAAAAAGTGGAAACAACATTCTATAATTATTTCAGGGTTGTTCTGGAAAGATCTGCACTATCACCTACCTGAAGATCAACAAAGACATTTTTCCTGACTTCAGTAACTTTAGACTCCAGGAGGAATGTTTGGTTTAAGATTCTCATCAATGCATATCTGAAACAAATATTGTCTGTCTGACTCTCTGCCATGGCTATTAGGTCAGGAAGAAATCTGCCCCTGTACTTTGAAAAATCTGTAACGTCAGAGGACTGCATCTATCCACATGCCAACTCTGCTGTACTACTCATCTGCTTTGCTGTATCTTCCTTGAATGGTTTTGATCCATTTCTTTTTTTATTATTATTAAAAATTTTTTTGTGTGTCTATTTATTTTTGAGAGAAAGAGAGACAAAGTGCAAGTGGGGTAGGGGCAGACAGAGAGGGGGGAGACACAGAATCTGAAGCAGGCTCCAGGCTCTGAGCTGTCAGCACAGAGCCTAAACATGGGACTTGAACTCACAAACTGTGAGGGTTTTGATCTATTTCTATTTCTACTTTTCTATGTTAATTAACCACCCATAAAATCCATTATAAAAAAAGGTGCATACATACAACTCACCTGAGTTGTGTCCATTTTCTGCTGTTGGGAGAGTACGGACAACTGTGAAGGATAAGCTGGGAATAAGGAAAGAGGAAAGGAATCATGAGAGGTCTGGTGAGATTCTGCATTCAGTTGCCTCAAAGTCTCATCACACCAGCTGGGGAAAAGCCTCCCTATGGAAAAATGTCCTGTTGACCCTTGAGAAGGGGCAGGAAGCACCACAGAGTGCTTCATTCCTTGAATATGTAGTACATCTCTGATATGATCACATGGATGTAACCTTGCTATTTTTCACTAGGTGACTGTGAATTATTTCCCCATTGATTATTAATATTCTATTAATATTATTTATACTTTGAGCTAGAGAATCAACAGAAAACTCTGGGAAAAAAAGATGCTTAGTGACCAAATATTTTAAAATACTTTTGTTCTTCTGAACAAAGGACTTTTGGTAAGACTTTTGATAAGACACTTCTAGTGACTTACGTGTGACAGAATGAACAGCACTGCTTTCCTCCTAGCTCTGTCCTGGGTGACCAGGGGACATACATCTGAGGCTCCAGTTTTTTAAAAGTTTCAAAAGAGTCAGAGATAGAAATCTACTCCTACACTGTCATTTTGTAATTCTTTATGTTCAGGATAAAGGAAGCCTCAGCATATCCCTAGATGCCCCTTCTGATGGACACAATGAGAGAGTGGCTCAGAATCTGCAAAGTAAGTGAAGAATGAAGAAAATAGGGGGCTGTTTAGGGACGGAGAATGAATTTCCTTGGCTCTGGCTTGGCTTTTCTTGTACGGACTGACAATCACCAATCTCTTCCAACCCCAGCTCACCACCTTCTGCAAGCTGGACCAGTTTCCACTGTCATACAGTCTGTGATGGCTTCTGGATGTGGTGACATCACCAAGTCTGGCTCTTTCTGGAAAAGGTAATAACAAAATGCTTCTGGTGGAACAAATCAGGACCCACTCCTTTCTGGGTTCTTCTGCATTTGTTCTGAAGCTTTGGTGAATATGGTTCCTGTCAGATAAACTTTTCTTCCAGGTGGGACTCCTGTCCCCAGGGCTCCTGTCCCCAGGGCTCCTCTCCTGCTTGCCACACAAGAGCTGAACGTTCCAAAGACGTTCCAAAGAACGTTCCAAAGACGTTGAGATTTAGGCCTAGGAAACAAATTCCTTTTAGTTGAAACTTTCATTGAGAGCAAAATTTCTTAGCTTCAGCACTACTGACATTTTGGGCTGCAGAATTCTTTGTGACGGGGGGTGGGGGGTCCTGTACGTTGTAGGATGCCTAGCAGTATTTCTGGTGTCTACCCACCAGATGTCAGTAGCAATCCTCCTCTGTTGTGACAAACCATATCATCTCCAGCCATTTCCAAAAGTCCTCTGGAGAGCAAAATCGCCCTGGTTGGGCACCACTAGTGTAGGGCCTGATTTTCTTCAAGATCATTATAACTGTTCTATTATTATAGCCACTAGCCACGTCCCACTACTTAGCACTTGAAATGTGGCTAGTGCCACATGTTGAAGAATATTTTGTATATATTGAGATAAACACAGTATGTTCTTAAAATTAATTTCACGTTTTAGTTTTTAATATGGCTACTAGAACATTTAAAATTACCAATATGGCTCACCTTATCTACTGGACAGCACTGCACTAGATATCAGACTGTGCCTTCTGAAGACAGAGACAGCCTGGACAGCACAGGAGGTACCAGGAGCCTCAGTCTTATCCAGAGGCTCTGGAGACATGCCAGAAGCCCCAGAATAGATACACGTGTCAGAAAGTGACATTTATGTCAGAGAGTGACATCATGCTAACTTTACAATCATAGTCACTCTGCTACTGCCGTGAAGCCTACAATGTTGGGTTTTAGGGAGGCAGGGTATTAGGAATAGCTGAATTTAGGAGTAAAGCCTATCTGTATTTGCATCCTGGCTTCATCGCCTTTTTGACCTGTGGTCTGTAATTTCACTCTTCTGAACCCCCATTTTCTTTTTCTTTCTTTTCTTTTCTTTTCTTTTCTTTTCTTTCTTTCTTTCTCTCTCTCTCTTTCTTTCTTTCTTTCTTTCTTTCTTTCTTTCTTTCTTTCTTTCCTTCCTTTCTTTCTTTTTAAGGATATGGTTATTCCTATAAATGGGGTGGCTGCAAAAACTAAGTTAAATACTAAATAAAAAAGAACAAAGTGTCTTTCAAATTGATGGGAGCCAACACTATATTTTGGCGTATTGCCTACTGCTTACTAGTGTTACTAACACTTGGATAAATGCATTATAGGTTATGACTTACCTCTTTCTGAACAACGCCACAAAGCAGTTTTTAACTACTATCCTTATTTTCAGATAAGAACCTCACTTATGCCCAAGTGACAAAGGCGGAATTTATCCGGTCTTTCTGGCTTCCAAGTCCAACGCCAGGTCGCGCTTTGTGCCGGGCTCATGGTCAGTATCCAATACGGAAACGCGCATTACCCGCCGGCCTGGATCTTCCCCGCTCCCGCTGCAGTCAGCTCCCGCACCCCAGTCTGCAGGGAACATCTTCCGACAACACTCGCCCCATCTAGGCCCCTGGAGCCCACACCCACCCGTCTTTGCCAGGTCTACGTTCCTGCCGGGGTCGGCACTTGGGGTGAACGGGGAGTTCCCGAGACGTCGTGGTCCCTTCCTCTGGGAACGAGCCCGCCCCTCTCCCTCCCGGCGTGCGGAGTAGGCCTCTCTCACCTGAGGGCAAACCCGGCGCAACCGCACAGCCTGGGAGGACGGAAGCCGGTAAATGGGGGTGACTGCACATGCGCAGGGAAAAGCCCAGGATATCCGTTCCTAGAATGCCGCGCGGTCAGCCGGAACATCCAGAACTACATTTCCGTGAAAATACCGCGACCGCTCGCCGGTTTCATGTACGTTGGGGCAGTCCACGTGGCAGGGAGGCAGACGGTAAAGGGGGCGTTATTAATGGGATGTTATCAACAGTCTGTATTGCTCTCTGGCGCCCAAATTCTACCAAAGTCCCAGAGGTTATGGGTTAAATTTTGACATACCATCAAATACAGTGTGGTCCTGGATCAGATCCTGGTTGGAGAAAACAAAAAGACGTTTGGGAACAACTGGGGAAATTTGTGTATGGATCGGATCTTAAAAATATTAAGGGAAGTTACGTTAGTTTTGTTAATTGTGATAATAACTATTGGGATTATGTAGGGAAATTTAGTTTTTTTAGAGATGCATATTAGAATACTTAGCATTATATTACATATTTGTAATTAAGTAACAACCAGACAAGGCAAATATAGTAACATGTTAAGGATTTCTACGTCTAATATGTGGGTATGATCATTTTACTGTTTTCTCCTTTTCTATGTGCTAGGAAGTTTTGTAATATAAAGTTCATAAAGGGGAAATTTTAAACTATTTTTCCAAAAGTGTGCCTTTTAACTCAGAGCTGCCAAAAGGAAGAAAGGTACATGTGTCAAATAACAAAACTAAAACAGTAACAATTTGATGTCTTTTATTCAAGGGAAACAAACCATAAAGCACTCTTCGGAGGGATGTTGGTCAAGAGTGAATTTGATTAATAGGGATTTCCTAATAAGGCCAAGTAAGCTAGCTAAAGCTGAGTTGCAAGATTGTGACTGGCATATATTAGGTTTCTTTGACAATGAGAGGAGTACCATTAGATCAGGCTGACTTAGGTTGAGATTTGTGACCTTGGCCCCCGTTTTGTGGGTACCAATATGCAATTAACTTTACCATGTGTAAACAGTTTTTGTGACTAAGACTGTAAAATGTAACATAAAAGAATAATATCTGTGATCCTCAGAGTTTCTTTCTGAGAAAAAAAGAAAAAGTAAGCTGTTCAATCTTTCATAAGTAATATCTGAAAGTACACACAACTCAGAAAACAATTATCATGCAAATTATGCATCTCCTAGGGATAAACTTGCATTTGCACACTTCTGAAATTAGGAACCAAATTAGGAACCTATGAACACATTTTATGACTGCCTTCGTGTGTGTGTGTGTTATACGTATATACAAAACATACATATACTTACATATAAACACATACTTTTCTTGGTTATTTTGTAACATTATTATATATGGCAATGATAAAAAGATAGGTTTTTTTTTTTAAGTTTATTTTGAGAGAGAGAGAGAGAGAGAGAGAGTGTGTGTGTTTTGGGGGGGGGGGGGCGGGGGACAGAGAGAGACGGAGAGAGAATCCCAAGAAGGCTCAGCACTGTCAGTGAAGAACCTAATGTGGAGCTCGAACCCCAGAGACGAAGTCTGATGCTTGGGGCAACTGAGCCACCCAGGTGCCCCAAAAGATAGTTTAAAAAAATTTTTTTTTAGGGGAGCCTGGGTGGCTCGGTCGGTTAAGCTACCGACCGGCTCAGGTCAGGATCTCACGGTCCATGAGTTCGAGCCCTGCGTCGGGCTCTGTGCTGACAGCTCGGAGCCTGGAGCCTGTTTCCGATTCTGTGTCTCCCTCTCTCTCTGACCCTCCCCTGTTCATGTTCTGCCTCTCTCTGTCTCAAAAATAAATAAACGTTGGGGCGCCTGGGTGGCGCAGTTGGTTAAGCGTCCGACTTCAGCCAGGTCACGATCTCACAGTCCGTGAGTTCGAGCCCCGCGTCAGGCTCTGGGCTGATGGCTCAGAGCCTGGAGCCTGCTTCCGATTCTGCGTCTCCCTCTCTCTCTGCCCCTCCCCCGTTCATGCTCTGTCTCTCTCTGTCCCAAAAATAAATAAACGTTGAAAAAAAAAAATTAAAAAAAAAATAAATAAATAAACGTTAAAAAAAATTAAAATATTTTTTAAACGTTTATTTATTTTTAAGAGAGCACAAGTGGGGCAGGGACAGAGAGAGAGGGAGACACAGAAGCCAAAGCAGGCTCCGGGCTGTCAGCACAGAGGCTGAAGCGGGGCTTGAACCCACAGACCGAGAGATCATGGCCTGAGCCAAAGTCAGACCCTTAACTGACTGAGCCACCACGCATACCAAATAGTTTTGATTAGCAAGAAAAAAGAAGGATTGATGTTGCCAGTAAGTTATTGCAACTGGTGTGAATCCAGGTATAAAACGATTCTGTTGACACTTAAAAAACTTTAATGAATACCAGCTTTCTAGATGAAAAGAATATAATTAATGTTCCCATCAGAATCCTAAAAAAGTTTTCTCTGTGTTCTTTCTCTTTGACATTTATTGTTTGTTAAACCTAAAGAAATGATCCCAGCTTTTATTCCAATAAAAACTTTTAGTAATGATCAGAAGAGAATTGAAAATGCCTAGCAATGTGTTTGTATTAACATGTATGATATTGCTAAAGTATTTAAAAACTGATCCTGGTGCAATAAAAGTTTAAGTCTAGGTAGAAAAGAAAGTGAGAAGGTAGTATGTGTCAGAGCTGGGATTTAAAGCAGTGGAAAGAGAACATTTAATAATTTTGTTAGAACAAGGTAAGTGCTGGAACATAATAAGGCCATATCCATGGAATTCATATTACAATAAATAACTTTCATAGGGATTCAAATATAAGCAATTAAAGACAATTTCTAAAGTTTTAAAATTTCAATTTCTGAATTTTCCAAGTTCTTAAAGAATACAAATGTTTTAAAAAATATAAGGCCTTTCCGTTCCTTTCCTAGGAAACCCTATCTCTTCACTCTTATCCCATGCCTGAGACCCTACCCTACACCGAAGGAAAACTGGCCTGTGTGTGCTGAGATGGGCTGCAGAACAATGACACCAAACACCAAGCAGACAAAGTCATTTTTTTGACCCTTATGATGTAACACAAACAAGGTCATTGTTTTGCATGAGTAAAGACAAAAACAAGGTTGCTCTGCTCCTCTCAAAATATCAAACATCCCCCTCTCACCTGATACAAGTGACTGTTGCTTGTTTTTTTTGTTTTTGTTTTGTTTTGCTTTGCTTTAACAACACCCAATCCTGAATAAACTCAGCTGCATTGGAACCACTGCAAAATGAAGTAACTAACACTCAAATCCTATAATTCCTTCCTAACATCTGTTACTGAAGCACTTTATCATTCCTATCATCCAGTGTAATATGTGCTCTTACTGCAATGACTACTAAAATCTAAATTGTTCAACTGCATGTGTGTTGCTGGTGGTATTTGGCCGAATTACATTGACATCTACAGTTATTAGTTGGAATTCTGTAAGAAAGATTTGTCCCTTCTCTCCAATATACTTATTTTCAATCATTTGTTTTTATCTGCATGGACACGTGGAGATTTATTTCACTCTTTGGACTATTTTACTAGATTTATTATTTTGCTAAATATGTGCCATCTTTGGCTATTGGGAGCTCTTTCAGGCTGGCTCTGTGTCCTTTTTTTTTTTTTTTTTTTCTTTAATAGGCTTTATTTTTTAGAACAGTTTTAGTTTATGGCAAAATTCATAAAATACAGACAATTTCCTATATACTTCCTGCCTCCACACAAGTACAGCCTTCCCCCTATAAACATCTCACACCAGAGGATGGTATATTTGTTACATTTAAAGAGCCTACTTTGATATATCATTATCCACCCAAATACACAGTTTACATTAGAATTCACTCTTGGTATTACACATTCTATAGGCTTTGACAAATGTTGCAACCATTAAAATATCATAAAGAATTGTTTTACTGTCTTAGAACTCCTCTGTGCTCTTCCTGTTCATCCTTCCCTCCTCTTCATCTCCTGATAACCACTCATTTTTTTCTCTCTCCATTATTTTGTCTTTCTCAGAATGTCATTATATTTGAAATTATATTGTATGAAGCCTTTTCAGATTGGCTTCTTTGACTTACTAAGGTGCATTTAAGGTTCCTCCATGTCTTTCCATGGCTCAATGGCTCATTTCTTTTTAGCACTGAATAATATCCTATTGTCTGGATGTACCACAGTTTATTCATTCACCTACTGAAGGTCATCTTGGTTATTTCTGAGTATTGAAAATTATAAGTAAGGCTGTTATGAACATCCATGTGCAAGCTTCTGTGCAGACATAAGTTTTCAACTCATTTGGGTGACTACTAAGGAGCGTGATTGCTGGATCACATGGTATAGTGTATACAGTAAGAAATTAACAAATTGTCTTCCAAAGTGGCTGAACCATTTTGCATTCTCATCAGCAATGAATGAGAGTTCCTGTTTTTACACATCCTCACCAGCATGTGGTGTTGTCAGTGTTTTGAATCTGGCCATTCTAATAGTTGTGTATTGATGTTTATTGTTTCAGTTTGCAACTCCCTAATAATATATGATGTTGAACATTTTTCTTATGCTTACTTGCTGTCTGTAGATTTCTTTGGTGGGTGTCTATTCAGATATTTTGTCCATTGTTTGTTTCATCAGGTTGTTTGTTTTCTTATCGTTGACTTTTGAGAGTTCTTTGTATATTTTAGGTAACAGTCCTTTATCAGATATGTCTCTTGTAAATATTTTCTTAGTCTGTGGCTTGTCTCCTTATCCTTCTGACAGTGACTTTTGCAGAACAGAAAAAATTTTTAAATGTTTATTTTTGAGAGACAGAGAGCTAGAGCATGAGTGGGGGAGGAACAGAGAGGGAGACAGAATCTGAAGCAGGCTCCATGCTTTGAACTGTCAGCACAGAGCCCAATGCGGTG